AAAGAAACCACCCACAGAAGCCAGAGAGCTTACCCAGCTCCCAGAATAGGTCTAAACAAGCATTTGGTATGTCCCCTCAGGCATTTCCAGACAGAGTTGCCTCTGTTTATTGACTTTACATTTAGAAGGGAAATTAAAGATCATCTTATCTAGTCTAACTACCTCCCCCATTTTATAGATGAGCAAATTGAGCCCCAGAGTGGGAAAACATAACTTATCCAAACCTGCTCAGCTGACCCAGATCCTCCAAAACTCAGACTTTTCCCCTTACATCATGAATCACACAATTTCCAAGTCAGAAGGGAGCCGAAAGAACTGTCACACTTGATCAAGAATCCCACCTACACCAGACTTCTACTGAGGGGATACCCCTCCCCCCTATCCTTCCCCCCCTCCCCCCTCCTTCATGACATCCCATCACCCTTTGGGCTAGCTTTTATTGGGAGGACATTTTTCCTTCCAGTGGGCTAAAATTTGCCTAGTCTTCATTTTAAGTAAACCTGTGTTATAGGCAATGAAAGGTTTAACAAATGGAATGTTTAACTCCCAAAAACAGGACATGCTTTTAAGTTAAATCTGCATTAATAATATTTTTCTCCATCACTTTCCTAAGTCTGGATAATTAACAAAATAACAAATCAAGTCCTGATTTGTACTGTTCGGTTTCCCAACTGGTTCCAGCACACCCCTGGTTACAGGGTTCCCAACTTAACTTCATTGCTGAATAATAACACCTTTGTAGAGCCCTTTAAGATTATGAAGTATTTCATTTTTAAAAAATACAGATTTCCTTTTTTATTATGAACTTAAACATAAGCACTTCAATATGTAAAGAATTGAAAAGTATATAAAACTGACTTTCTATTACTTACAATTTGGGTTTTTTTAAAGTGTCTATTAACTTTAACATGATAGGAAAAATATTGTCCTCCTTGTCTTATTTAATTCTGAACATCTTTGGTACAAAGCACTTTACATCCATTATCTCATTTCATCCTCACAATAGCTATGGGAGATACAAATATTATTTTATAGTCTCATTTTCCAGGTGAGAAAACTAAGATGCAGAGAGGTAAAAACTAGAAAAGATAACTAAAACACTTGATGACAGAATCAAAATTCAAAATTATCTTCATGGACTGGAACATTTGGCCAAATCTAATCTGATGAAATTTATTTGGAATTAATGTAAAGTTTTACTCTTTGGCTCATAAAATCAGGATGGAGACAGCAGACTAGACATAGGTTTCTCTGAAAAAGACCCGGGGGAATTTAGGGACAAACTCATTTTGGGGCAACAGGGTCCTGATATGACGGCCACAGTACAGTATTAGGTTTGTGTCCAGGAATCTGGAAGTGATAGACCCACAGTGCTCTGTCCTAGCCAGACCCCATCCATAAAGAGCATTAGAATGACCACAATAAGCTGGAAATCCCACAGAGGAGGACAACTAGCATTGTGAAGTGCCTGGAGATCAGGAATATGAAGACTGGTAGAAAGAAATGAGAATATTGGGTATATAAGTATGTATATATACAGATATGTGCATATATGTGTGTTATACACGTGTATACACCTGGGTTCAAATTTATGCATACACATATATATGCATACACACATTTATGCATTTGTTTACCTATATTTATATAATATTTACACACATATACAGCTGGAACCAGCTGATTGAGAAGAGCTCTGTGTTAAATTCTCAGTACGAGAATTTATACCTTGGAAATCAGCAAATGCTACAAAGCAGGGCTTAAGTCACTGTCTTGTTGATAGCCTATGGGGGTGGGAGGGGAATGTTAATAACAGATTAAATTTAAAAGAATATGTGCGTAAATCTGTGTACATATACATGAATAGTGGCATGTAAGTGGAATATATTGCTAACTATTATTGGTAGTATATGTACTAGTATACTATACACACACACACACACACATATTATAGCTATTATTAACAGTTGTTGTTTAGTTATATCTGACTCTTTGTGACCCTTTGGACATTACTGTTCATGGGGTTTTCTTGGCAAAGATACTAGAGTGGTTTGCCATTTCCTTCTCCAGTAGATCAAAGCAAACTAAAGTTAAGTGCCTTGCTCAGGGTCACACAGCTAGTGAGTATCTGAGGCCAATTTGAACTCAGGTTTTCCTGACTCGAGAGCCAGCATTCTATCCACTGAGCCATCTAGCTGCCTTCGAGACAAATGGAGGTTAAGTGACTTGCCCAAGGTCACAGTAAATGTCTGAGACCAGATTTGAGCTCCAGTCTTCCTGACTCCAAGACCAGTGCACTGTCCACTGGGCCATCAACCTTCAGGCCTGACTCTAACAGGACCCAGAAACGTTCTATAGTTTACAAAACGCTCTCCTTCTGATAAGCCCGTGTGGTAAGTAGTGCAAGCATCATGATTTCCATTTTACAGATGAGGATGCTGAGGCTTATCATACTTAAGCTTGAAGTCACCAAGCTGACAAACACAACTGTCAGAGTGGGCGCTGGGGTTCCTGACACAGTTCTGGTTCTTTGCTCTTTGCCGTGGTGTGCCTCATTGACCTTTCTAGATTTACTTTACATTATTCTCCCTCACATATCTAAGGTACAATGAAACTGGCCTGCTGTTCTGCCTACATGAAGTCTGCACATCTGTTCCCCATGCCTACAATACTCACCTTTGCCTCTTGAATCCCCAGATCCACTTAAAGCTTAGCTACAGTGCTGCCTCGTGCCTGAGGCCTTTCCTGGTTCTCCCACCAGAAGTTAGCATCCCTCGCCCAAAGACTTTGCATTTACTTTGTATAGTCAAGAAGCATTATGAAGTGCCTGCTATGTGCCAGGCACTGTCTTTTTTGTTTGTTTTTTAGGTAATTGGGGCTAAGTGACTTGCCCAGGGTCACACAGCTAGTAAGTGTCAAGTGTTTGGTCTGAGGCCGGATTTGAACTCGAGTCCTCCTGACTCCAGGGCCAGTGCTCTGTGCCACCTAGCTGCCTCAAGGCACTGTCTTAAAGTGCTGGGGATTCAAAGAGAGGCAAAAGTCAGTCCCTGCTCTCAAAGAGCTCACATTTTACAGATGAGGAATAGGAGTGCAATACATGCCTGTCAAATGGAACTGAAATGGTCATTCTTAAAATCTTCCTTTCCAAATCCTTCAGACTCTCAGCTTTTCTCTGAGTATCAGAATCCCAAATTATGCCCAAGCCTAGGTTAGAAGAGCCAAAGTCAGTGTAAGCTGTTTAAAAGTAGAAAATATTTTATTGCAAAACTATTTTATTATATAGTGCAAACTCTCATTGTATATCACGTCCAGGACACTGGCCTTGTGTCGCCTGGCCCATTTGGGAACTCAGGCAGAAACCTCAAGTGAGGAAGTCTATCGTAGTCTTTCCCGAGAGATGGGAATGAGGCGTTTCTGCAAGTGGCCACTAGAGGGGGCTCTCTTCCCATAATTGAATGACGTGGGCTAGGGTCTTCAGGGTGCAAGTTTCTGTTTCAAAGACGGAGTCCTCAAAGGGGAGAAATGACCAGGGGCCAATCTTAACCAATCAGTTATTACAGCTGCCAAGCGCCACATTCAAGTCCAGTGATTTTTTTCTCTTGCCCCCTGAGGTTGGTTAGAGTGGCTTTCACTTCAGCCAGAATCACGGAGTACAGCTCCACTTTGGATCTGGCCAGGTCCATAGTCCTGGCATCTTCTGCAAGGGTAGTCAATAATCACAGGAACACAGTTAGGCCTGGAAGAGACTTTGGACCTCATCCAGCCCAACCCCTTCATTTTACAGAGAAGTCAATGGACTTGTCCAAGGTCCCACAGGCAAACAAGGATTTGAATTCTGGGCCTTTGACTTCAAATTCATCCAGTGTCCACTGCAGTGCACCGCCTGTCACTGTTTGATGGACTTCTAGAAGATGTCCTAACTGACTTCCAGAATTCCACAGAAGAAGGAAAGTTTATAGAGAACTGGAAACAGCTTCCTGCTTTTGAATCCACAGTGCCTTGCACACAGTAGGAGTTTAATGAATGTTTGTTGAATTGAATAGAACATTCTACTCAGCAATCTCTTCTACAGTACACAAAATTATTTCTAGCATACACACCTGCATATACGCATTCTCACAACACAAATTCAGGTCTTTGGGGATATGGCACAAATGTGGCCCAGTGACTCATCCTGGGCCCTTGGGCTTTGAGGTAAAAAGGGAGAGGAGCAAAAAAGTACACAGCCAGGGACAGGCCCCCAACCTGAGGTAGCAGATTTTGAAAGGCTCGTGGGGCCTCACACAGCTCCAATTCCCGTCTCCTCCCTTAGTCACAGATTTAGAGCTAGAAGGTCCCCAAAGGTGACCTAGTCCAACCCCCTTCATTTTGCAGATGAGGAAACTGAGGCCCAGAGAGGGAAAGTTATTTACTCAGGATCATAAAGGGAATGCGCAGCAGAGCCAAGATATGAACCTGGCCCTCTGGTTCCAGATCATTCATTCTATTCCCCTATACCATACTCCCATATGAAAGGGATCACTGCTTTGCCAAAATGAAGACTTCAGATTATGAAGCCTAAATGAGCAGGGTTTCAAAGAGGAAAGGGGGCAGGTTCAGGAAAGTCTTAGTCACCGGCCTTCTATGGTGGTTACAAGTGTCATAGAACTTGAGTCACAAGAGTCAACCCAAGAAACAAACCTTTCTCCCCATCATGAGCATCTGAGAGGTTCCCTTCCCACTCCCACCCCAAGCCTCTCAGCATGAACTGTCCTAAAATCTCAGAGTCTGAAAGGGACTCCCTACCCACCACCACCACCGGCATGGCCCTACAGTTCGTAGGATCATAGATTTAACACTACAAAAAACCTTGGAGGCCATCTAATCCAACCTTCTGGTTGGACAGATTAGGAAACTGAGGCCTGGAGAGGTCAAGAAACTTGCCTGAGGTTATATAGCTAGTAAGTAGCAAAATGTGTGATTCAAACCCAGGTCTTCAGATTCCAAAATCCATTGTTCTTTCTGCAGTACCATGCTGCCTTTTAATAATCCCATCTCTCTCCCTCAGTTGCACCCTCCCTCCCATTCCCCAGCTATCTCTTCCTCCTAGCCTACCTGAGGAATATGGGGATAGGAATCCTGAAGTCTTCATGGAGAGAAGGATCAGGATCTAAGAGTATTCTTGGCTTACCAAGAATTTGGCATTTAGAAGTAGCCTTGGAAATCCTCTAGTCTCTCTCCTTCATCTGACAGATGAGGAAACCAAGGTCCAGAAAGGGAATATGGCTGAGCCAAGATTGCAAAGTTCTTTAGAGGTGGAGCGAGAAACCCACATGTCCTGACTCCCAGCTCAGGCGCCATGATGCGTCTTGGAAGAGATAAAGCAGGATAAGAAAACTGAGAAAGGGGAGAAACCAAGGTAAAAGGCATTCAATACCTCTCCCTGTCATCTCTTGTCCCCACTCTCTAAAGGCATGAGACAGGCCTCTGAGGATCAAGGCCCTTGGAAGGGGGGGAGGCTGGCCCAAGAAAAGCAACAGAATCCCACCATAAAAGGCAGACCTCAGAAACAGTACAGGGGTCCCTCTGAGAGTATCCTGATGAGGTCACTCAGCTTCTGGTCAGATCCTTCCAGTAAAGGGGAGACAAGAGGCCCAGCTTGTTAACTGAGTTTCATGCCCATATCCTGTATCCCGATGGGAAGCGGTTTCTCCTCTAAATCTGGCAGCAGGGTTTGTGGTGCATTCTGGGAGGCTGGCTTGCCCTTCCTGGGGCTCTCCTCTTGGGAGAAGGGGACATCCTCATTCCAGGGGGAGCCTGAGGAGCTGGCTTCAAAGTCAGGGCAGCTGCTCTGTGATGAACACTGGGAGGTGTGGTCGGAGTTACACACATTGACGATGCAGGTCACCTTGACCTGGGTCCCTCCATTGTGGGAGTGTTCTGTCAAGACACAAAGGAAGAAAGAAGGGTCATTCCACAGATACCAGGAGCCGGGAGAGCTGGAGGGATTGGAGGATGGGCTGGAGGATTCTCACTCTGGAGCAAGGGTGTTTAACCCAGGGTACCCCATGGGGTCCTGGGTAGATCTGTGAACTTAAATAGGTAAAAAAAAAAATCACATCTTTCTTTCTTTTCACTAACATCTAACTGATATTTAGCCTTTCTTTCAATTATTTTAAAACATTATTCTGAGAAAGTGTCCATAGGTTTCTCTAGTTTGCTGGAAGGCTCCATAAGGCAGGGGTATGCTGGAAGCAGTTCAAACCAGGTGTTAAGCCGATGGTTATGTTTTTAGTGTGAGCATTTATATATATACCTCAGAAACCAGCAAATGCTACAAATCACAGCTTGATTTATTGTTTTCTTAATTGTGACTAAAGAAAATGATGAAGAAAATGTTAATTATGGCAGATCAAACTTAATTGTGCATTGTAATATAGTATATGCATATATACATATATATATATATATATACATGCATATATATGAGAGCTGATTGTTAACTTTTACCAGCATGCCCCTGTGACCATGACACAAAATAAGCTTAAGAATTCCTATTCTATAGGTGCTACCTCAGACACCTACTAGCTGTATGACCCTCTGCCTAAGACACTTAACCTGTCTGGGTCTTGGTTTCTTCATCTGTAAAATGAGTGGATCAGACTTGATGATTTCTAAGATCCCTTCGGGCTCTAAATCTGTGATCTTTTGACCTTATGGGACAGGAAATCTAGCCATCAAAAAGTACTTAAGCACCTACTGTGTACCAAACGCTGGAGACACGAAGAAAGGCAAAAACACAGTTCTGCCCTCATCTGTAAAATGGGCTGGAGAAAGAAATGGCCAACTATTCCAGTAGCTTTGCCAAGAAAATACAAATGGGGCCATGAAGAGTCAGACATGACTGAAAAGCAACTGATTATCTATCTATTCATCTATCTGTCATCTATCCATTTATCCATCCATCTATCTATCTGTCATCTATCTGTATCTACATCTATCTATCCATCTATCATCTATCTATATCTATCATCTATCTATCTAATTCTATCTACCCAATCATCTATCCATCTATCTATCATCTATCTATAGCTATATCTATCTATCCATCTATATCATCAATCATCTATCTGTATCTATCTTTCTATCATCTATCATTTATCTGTATCTATCTATCCATCCATCTATCCATCTATCATCTATCTATATCTATCTATCCATATGTCTATCTATCATCTATCTATAGCTATATCTATCTATCCATCCATCTATCCATCTATCCATCTATCTGCCTATCTATCTATCATCTATCTATCTAATCTCATTTGATCCTTAACAACAGTCCAGGGAGGTATTATAAGATAAGAATTCCTTATAAAGAGGACCTTGTTTATATATAAGCAGGTGTTACAAAAATATTTGAAAAGGCTTCTCTTAAGTAGTTTAAACATTCCCTGGGAAACTGTTTGTAGTTATTTTCACTTGCAGATACTTTCCCCCACCCCACCCCCCACAAACAGCCCTCTTTGGGTTTTCATGTAAGTGCTATATTTGGAAAATTATGGTTTGACCCAGAGGTATGATCCACAGTCCTGTACTAATGAATGGTGTCAGCGGGGTTTCACTTCACCATGTTCCTGGGTACAGGGAAAGGGAACCGAGATTGCAAATGTTTTTCAAGGATAATCACTACATCAAAGACCATGGATCTGTAAAGATCCCTCTTCATTTGGCAGGTAAGGAAACTGAGCCCCAGAGAGGAAGTGATTTAACAGATGGGGAAACTGAGGCCAGATTCATTCAGATACATTCAGAGAGAGGGAAAGTAATTTCTAGGTCTCCTAGGTAACTAATGAGTCAAATGGATAAATGAGAGTTGACTACCTTTTCTTCCTTTTAATCCAATTTAATCCTAATCCTTTTTAATCCACAAAAACAGAGCCTGGGACTCTATTGGAGAAGGAGCCTCTTACCTGAGTTCATGGAGCCAGCCCTGGTTCCCTGGCCACACTTGGACCTCTCTGAGCTTGGAGCCTGGTGCGAGTTGTTTTCTGTTCCCTTGGTCTCCTGGAATTCCTTGGCTTCCCCACAGCTCAGCGTACTGTCCAGGGAGTTGCTGCTGGAGGTGGCTTCTGAATCTAGCAGGTTCTGCTGCTCTGTTCCGGTGCGGCCCAAGAAACTCTGGTTCTTCTCAGCTACTGAGTGAGGCTGGACAGGGAAACAATGACATGGGACCATCAGGAGACATCGGATTGGGGCTTGGAGGGAGGGACTTATTAGAATCATAGAATGTCTGAGCTTTAGGACCCTGGAATATCAGAACTAGGAGTCCTTAGAACACAGAATGTCAGAGATGGGAGGGCCCTTAGAACACAGAATGTCAGAGATGGGAGGGTCCTTAGAACTTAGAATGTCAGAGTTGGGAGGACCCTCAGAACTGAGAATGTCGGAGCTGGGAAGGGTCTTAGAACACAGAATGTCAGAGCTGTGAGAGTCCTTAGAACACAAAAGTTCAGAGCTGTGAGGGTCCTTAGAACCCAGAAGTTCAGAGCTGGGAAGGTCCTTACAACTTAGAATGTCAGAGTTGGGAGGACCCTTAGAATAGAAATGGCCGAGCTGGGAGGGGCCTTAGAATACAGAATGTCAGAGTTGGAGGGACTTAAGATGTGGGACCTTATGAAGGGTCCTTAGAGACCATGCATGCCAGGAGGTATTAACCTTTTTTGTTCCATGGATATGCCTTTTAACAGTCTGGTAAAACCTATGGACCCGATCTCAGAGTAATGTTTGTTGCTATCATTCATTATTGAAGGAAAGGCTACATTTCAGTTAAAGGTTAGTGAAAAAGATGCCACTTTTTTTTCTCATTTGAAATCTCTCCCAGAGTCTACTCAAGTTAAAACTTCATCTGTGCCAACTTCTTCATTTTAACAAAGTAAGGAAACTGAGACCCAATCGCAGGAAGCCACTTATTTGTCCAAGGTCTGCCAGTGAGGGAGCCAGTGGAAGAATCTGGCCTGGGGCTTGGCTCGATGTCCTTTCCACTGGGCCATCGTCAAGTGGGAGGGCTGACCTGAGGACTGTCTCTGAGGCAGTGAGTCATTATTATTACTGGAGCCATACCTAGAAGCAGCCCCCTCTGGGGTGAAGCCAGCATGTCTCTGCATCATTTTTCTGGGATGCATCCGAGGGTCCCGAGTGTGACTAGCTGGAGTTGGAAAATCTAGGAGCTGAGATTGCTGAAAATATTTTGTCATATTGCCCTTTGAAGGCAAAAATCACCTTCTCAAAATGCCTATTTTGAGACTAGCCAGGGGAGCTCGAATATGACACAAGGCTTTGTTTTATATGAAGGAGCTATCAGTCTCCTTAGTACTATGGAGAGAATGCTGGCCCCAGAGTCAGAGGACTCAGGTTCAAATCTCGCCTCTAATGGTTATTTCTGGTATCATCCTGGGCAGTTCACATAACCTTCCTGGGCCTCAGTTTCCTCATCTGTAAAATAAGGAGGTCAGACAAGATGGCCTTTTGAGACCCCCTTCAGCTTTGAATCTGGGACCCTAAACCTAGGGAAATCTCTGCCACGTTTCTTGTTTTCCCCATAGTACCAGTTGTAGGGGAGGGGAACTTAGTCAATTTAGTCTGACTTGACTCTCTGGGAGATAATTCTGTGCCTCAGTTTCTTTACATGTTAAATGGGCATACTAACAGCACCAAATTCCTGGGATTATTGTGAAAATCAAAGGAGATAATATTTGTAAAGTACTTATCACCCTGCCTGGCACGTAGTGGGTGCTTCATAAAAGGATGGCTAGGTGTTAGCTGAAATGGTAGCTTAGATGGCACAATGGATAGACAGAGTACTGGGCTTCGGGTCAGGAGGATCTGAGTTCAAATACAGCCTCAGATACTTACTAGCTATGCGACCCATGTTCAGCCAGTCCCTAATCAATGGGCATCCCCTCAAGTTCCAATTCTTCACCACCACAAAAAAGAAACAGCAGTAAATATTTTTGTACGCATGGGTCTTTTTCCTTTCTTTGATCTCCTTGTGGTATAGCCATGATAGTGGTTTGTCTGACTCAAGAGTTTCACTGAGTTTTTGTACATAGTTTTAAACTGCTTTCTAGTCCAATTCAAAGTTCCACCAACAAGGCATTAATTTGACTGTTTTCCTGATGCTTCTCTTGTGTGGATTAGATGATCTTCCCAGTCCAGACTTGTGTCTTCTAAGGACCCTCCCAGCTCTGACATTCCAAGTTCCAAGGGCCCTCCCAGCTCTAATATTCCCTGTTCTAAAGGCCCTCCTAACTCTGATATCTTGTGTTCTAAGGGCCCTTCCAGCTCTGACATTTCATATTCTAAGAGCCCTCCCAGCTCTGATATCCTGCGTTCTAAGGGCCCTCCCAGCTCTGACATTTCATGTTCTAAGGGCTCTCCCAAGCCCTGACATTCTGTGTTCTAAGGACCCTTCCAACTCTGACATCCTGTGTTCCAAGGGCCCTTCCAGCTCTGACATTTCATGTTCTAAGGGCCCAACTAGATATGACAATCTGAACTAAAACCCATAATTAGCTGAAGTATGGGGGACAACAAAATGAGTTGGTTTTTGTTTTCTTTCTCTGTTGGGGTAAGAGGAGGACCAAAGTGAAGGGAATGTAAGCTTAATTAATACGACTCAACAGTGTGACACATTGAACTAAGAAGCTGACAGGACCTTCACTTATATTGAGGGAGAGGGTAAAGTCTTGCTCTCCCTCCCCTGGTTGGACTACAGCTGGGTCACCGGGTTCAGTCTGGAGCTTTCTCTGTACATTAGGAAGGATAAATTGGATTGTGTCCAGAAATAGGGAATGGAGAGAGAGCTGGCAAACACCCCGTACAAAGTTCAGCAGAAAAAAAAACCAAACAAACCCACTTCCCCAGTGTGACCTGGAAGAGAAAAGACTTAGGCCATGGTAACTATCCTCAAAGATTTTAAAGGCTGTAATGGGGAAGAGGCAATACATTGGTTAAATTGGTTTAGGTTTTGTGTGACAATTAGAGCTTCCCATGAGTGGGAAGGGCTGCCTTTGAACATGGTGGGGTTTCTCTCACTGGAGGTCTTCAAACCTATTGGAGTACATTCTGGTCAGGACTATTTTAGAAGGGATCCTAGTTGAACTCCAGGATGGACCAGTTGGCCAGTAAAGCCCCTTCTGATGGTAAGATGCTGGGATTCTATGAGAATGGGGCTCCTGGGACAGTTCGCCCAGGGAAACCCCCTGTGCTTGCTAGGACCCACTTCCTTTTTTCACTGGGTCCCTAGCGTAGGTCCCAGACCATGCTCCCCTGCTGGCTGAGCCACTGAGCTTTACCACCCAAATGTCACTTCATCAAAATCACCTAACTTGGTACTTTTCAAAGGAGTTTTGTCTTTTCAAGAAACAGGAAGGATTATTTTAATGGAGTTAAGCAGAACCGAAAGACCCAAAGGCCAAATTCACCAACCTAACCTTCTAACAAACACATAGACCTCCTCCCACAACCTTCACCCCACGCAACTGACCAATACAGAAAGAATCGAAATTTATCACTTGTGTCAACCAAATTTCAGTTCCCTAGAACTGAAGCCTTTGGAGGGAGAGAGTACCGACTTGATTTATCCTAATAATAGGATTCAAGTACTCAGTCCCCAAATGGTCCCAGTGAGTACAGACTTGATTTATCCTAATAGTAGGATTCAAGTACTCAGTCCCCAAATGGTCCCAGTGATTCAGGAGCCTATCAATCCAACAGCACCTGACCCTGACATCAGGGAAACCCGAAGAGGGAGGAAGCAGCCGTCTGCTGGATATGAGTGTCAAGAATTTGGGCGTGGCTCTCCAAGCCCCATACCACACAGTAATGGGCTAGAAACAAGAAAACAACTCTGGTTTCATGGTACCTCTGAGAGGCTCTGGGTAGCCTAGCTGAAGAAAGTCTGATCATTAGCAACATACCAAGCACATATAGCTTCATTGTGCATGGAAGTGTCTAAGGCACTGATTGACGAACGGGGGTCCAGCCTAGCCCTGCCCAGTCCAAAGTGTACAACTATATGGTCCTTTGATATCATGATGGATGTAGGAGTGCACCACTCTCTCCACTGGTGGAAATCTCCACCGAGCCACATCATCTTCTCCCATCTATATTTTTTTTGTTCAGTCATGTCCAATTCTTCGTGACCCCATTTGGGGTTTTCTTGGCAAAGATATTGGAATGGCTTGCCATTTCCTTCTCCAGCTCATTTTACAGATGAGGAAAGTGAGGCAAACAGGATGAATTGACTTACCCAGGGTCACACAGCTAGTAAGAGTCTGAGGTCAGATTTGAACTCGGGTCTTCTTGACTCTAGGCCTGGAACTCTATCCACTACATCACCTAAATTCCCCCTGTCTACATACCCTTCCACAAATCTTCCCCAGGGCCTAGGCCCTTCTTCTAGATTTTGTGGATTTCAAGGGAGCCCAAAAGCTATTCGTTGGTTTTCCCTTCCTGTCTGCAAATGGCCTTCTTTTCTGATCCCACCTCTCTGAGGACATCCTCAGGGGTTTACTGACACTGGTCCTGAGCCTCTCTATTCACTATCTCATAAATGAACTGTAGCTATAATTCTTCTGTGAGGCAGTGTTCCATGATGTGCAGCCACAGATGATCACTGGCAGAATTCTGGGATTAAAAAGAGGGATAGCTGTTTGCCCAGTGCTACTCCTTCTGAACCTCTCTGCAGTATTTGACACCATTAACCACGCTTTCCTTCTGAAAACTTTCTCCTTTCTGGGTTTTTCCTAAAATTTCTCTCCCTTTGTTTTCTTCCTGTCTGACCAATCCTTCTCAGCCAACTGGAGCTTCAGCTATACCACATTGCCTAATTGTGGGTGTCTCATAGGCAGTGCAGTGAATAGAGTACCAGGACTGAAGTCAGGAAGATCTGAGTTCAAATCCAGCTTCAGACACTGTGTGACCCTGGACAAGTCACTTAACTTCTATTCTCCTCAGTGTCCCCAGTAGGGATAATAATGGCACCTAGCTCCCAGGGCTGTTGTAAGGATAGAATGAAATAATAATTGCCAACTGCTTAGCACAGTGACTGATGCATAATAAGCACTATATAAATGTTATCTAGTATTATTGTTCTAACCTGAGTCTGCTTCTCTTTCCTCTTTACACACTCTTTCCATGACTGCATCAGCTCTCTGGGTTCAATTGTCATTTCTAATCAGAGTCTTAGAGTGATATATCTAACTCCCATCCCATCACCAACTGGCTAATGGCCGTCTTCAACTGAAGGTACCAAAGATACCTCAAACTCGACATATCCAGCACAAAACTCATTATTTACCCCTCCAACCCAACCCTCTTCCAAATATCCCCGCTTTTGTTGAATGCACCACCCACCTCCCAGTCACCCTGGTTCACATCCTTGGTGTTATCCTTTACATCTTACTCTCCCATATCTCACACATCCAATTAGTTGCTCAATCTTGTTGCTTCTATGACCACAACATGTCTTACATAACCCCCTTCTCTCCATTCAGACAGCCACCTCCCCAGCTGAGGGTCTCATCACCTCTCACCTGGACTATTATAATAGCCTCCTAATTGATCCCTCTACCAAAAATCTCTCTTCACTCCAATCCATTCTCTATGTGGTCACCAAAGCGGTTTTCTTAAAGCACAGGTCTGAAGAAATGAGAAAATGCCCCTTCCTCCTTTTGCAGAGAAGGGGGATTATGGGTATAGAGGAGGGGAACTCTGGGTGTAGAGTATTGCATATACCACCAAACTCAGTTGATGTATTGATTAATTTAGCGCAACTGCTTTTTTCTTTGTTATAAGGAATAGCTTACAAGAAAGGGAAGAGGAGAGATATTGCAAATGAAGATAATCTAGAAACAAATTATATAAAATAAAATAAAATGAAAATAAAATAAAGAAGAAAGAATCAATGAAACATGAAAGAAACACAGAAGCGAGTAGAAGGAATATTGGGCAATCTTGGATCTACTATATCAAATTTAATATATATTTCTAAAAGCTGCACATAATTCATGGTGTCATGCACAACCCCCCTTTTTTAGGATTCATATGAATAAACTCTTTTTTTGGTTGATGTTCATAGCAATAAAAGACATTTTGAAATGTGCTATCAATAAGAATTAACCTTTTTTTATAAGTCTGAACAGAAAAGAAGGTAGAGTTGGTCATTTATGGGGTATATGAGAAAATAAATGGATAGTCCAAATCCTACACTGATACTTTTAAAATAGTCAAAGCAGTAGAGCGAGGTCTCCAGCAAGCTACTTGGTTTTTTATGAAAAATTTAGAAAAAGACAGAGAATAGCAGAGGTGTGGAGGGCTGATCAGCACTGTGTACCTGTGGGAGGGGTACCCACCCCACAGAGTTCACAGGTCCTTCTACCGTCTCAATGTAATATTTTAAGGAATCAGGATGTTTCATAATAAAAATTGTTCTTTGGGGAAAAGAGTGCTTTATCTGGCATCTTCCTCAGCTAGCTTGGGGAGTTGAGGAGGTAGGTGCAAGCCTTCTATAGGCCACTAGATGGTGAACCATGGATAGCCAATAGTTCAAGCTTAAGGAGGAGGAGAGAGCTACCAGGGAGAGACTGGCAAACTAGGGAAACTGTGGTCTATTACACTGATATTAAAATTTTTTTAAAAATATTGAAATATTGTGATACAGTGGAAAGTTTCCTGACTAGGAGTCAAGAATTCTTTCTTCTTAATCTGCTTCTGCCGTAACAATGATAATAACTGGCATTTATATAGCACCTACTACGTGTCAAATACTTTATAAATGTTATTTCATTTTTATCCTCACAACAACCCTGAGAGGTAGGTGCTAGTATTATTATCTTTATTTTACAGAGGAAAGTGAGGCAAACAAAGGTTGAATTTGCCCAAGGTCACATAGCAATTTAAATGTATAAGGCAGAATTTGAACTCGGGTCTTCCTAATTCCAGGCCCAGCACTTTATCCACTTCCCCACCTAGCTGCCTCACTTTGTGCCATGAACTTTCTGTTCAATTTGGGTAAGCCATTTCCCTTTTCAAATAGCCTCTTATGTATATAATGAGGGGATTGAGCTAAGAATCACTCCTAGCCTGACACCCTATGTTTTAAGGGCCCTCCCAGCTCTGACATTCTGTGTTCTGAGGGCCCTCCCAGCACTGACATCCTGTGTTCTAAGGGCCCTCCCAGCTCTGACATTCTCTGTCCTAAGGACCCACCCAGCTCTGACATCCTGTGTTCTAGGGGCCCTCCCAGCACTGACATTCTGTGTTCTGAGGGCCCTCCCAGCTCTGACATTTCATGTTCTCAGGGCCCTCTCACTTCTCACACTCTGTGCTCTAAGGCCCCTCCCAGCTCTGACATCCTGTGTTCTAAGGGCCACACACCTCTGATGTTCTTGTTCTAATAACACATCCACTTTGGGTGTTATGTTCAATGAAAATGTTGGACTATATTAAGAGGCATAATTAGATTACAAGAGAAACAGTACTTGGGATTCCCCTTTGCCTCCCTTTTCTAAGAATCAGCAGTCATTCACTACTTGTGCACATAGACTGTTCTAACCCGCGTCACCATTGAGTGACAGCAGTGAGGGCAGGATGTGGTGAAGATTCCCAATTCAGCAGTTTAGAGAAACTGAGAAACACCCAGTTAGAAGGGAGGGGCAAAAACGTCAAGTCAGCCATGCTAGAGGGCTCGGGCCAGGTTTTAGAAGACCCTATTCCAGGCCTGAGGCAGGAAGATGATACTAGTCATCTTTAGCCGGTCTCTTGGATTGTTTTCTTTCCTCTTCATATGATAAGGCTAACTTACATTCAGAGCAAAATTCACCACCACCCCGATCATCATTGCTCAATTGTACAGCCCCTGATAATTTCCAAAGCACTTTGATTTCCACGATCACGTTGGATGCTTCTCTGAGAAAGTTGAAGCAGGGGTTGTTGTCCATCTGATTATACAGATGCAAAACTGAGGTCCAGAGGGAGAAATGGACCTTAAGAACCAGAAGCCCCGGTTTAGAGTCCTGCCTCCATCAAGTGACTCTGTGGAGCAAGTGACCTCCCAATGCTTGGCTTCAGTTTCCTTGTCTACAGAACTAAAGGGTTGGAACTAGAAGGTCTGCCTCTAAGGGTTTTCCTGGGTCTGATGTTCTGTGTGCTAATGCTCTGGTTCTAAGCGCTTTTGTAAAGCTCAAAGTGTTGTATAAGGTAAATTATTAGTATTATTATTAAGTCCCTCTCAGATCTGACATTCCCGGTTCTTTTTTTTAATTAAATTATTTTCAGTTCCAAATTCCTTCCCTCCCACCTCCCCCTCTCCTATCCATTTAGAAAGCAAGAAAAACAAAACACTTTACAAACATATATACTCAAGCAAAATAAATTCCCTCGTTAGTAGTGACATCCTCTTTCCTAAGGCAGTTCTGACATTTTGTGTTCTAAGGGCCCTCCCAGCTCTGACATCTGTGTTCTAAGGGCCCTCCCAGCTCTGACATTCTGTGTTCTAAGCGCCCTCCCAGCTCTGACATTCTGTGTTCTAAGGGCCCTCCCAGCTCTGACATTCTCTGTTCTAAGGGACCTCCCAGCTCTGACATTCTCTGTTCTAAGGGCCCTCCCAGCTCTGACATTCTCTGTTCTAAGGGCCCTCCTAGCTCTGACATTCTGTGTCCTAAGGTCACATAAAGAATCAGAGACAAGGTTCCTTTTCCCATACCACAATGGTTTCCTATCAGACTGCAAGCTTCTTGAGGGCAGAGAGGAGGTCATCTCTTTGCCTGTTCTCCAGAGAGGCAGTTCCATAAGTGACTATCAGCTCATTCCCTGCAGACACACCCATGGCTATATCCCATATGTTTCCCTTTAAACCAAGCAACCATGAAGCAAAACTTACCACTTTGGTTTCCTCTTTGACGCAGGACAAGAGCTTTTCTACAAAAACAAAAACAAAAAACAGGAAAGGAAACATTTCAACCACCATCTCCCCCAAGAAAGAAACTGCCAGGAAAGGGTCAGTAGGAATGGTTGGTAAATCCTTGGGTAAGAAGTGAGCACCCCTCTAGAGTCTTGGCTTTGGCCTACCACTCCAGCCTTTTTGTCCCTACCTGATCTCTATTAAACTCAAACCAGTTTCTCTGTCTTTCAAATAATATCCTGCACATTCCCACCTCCAAGCTTTTGCTCAGGCAGTTCCCTCCACCTGCAGTACTGTCTTTCCATATCTAAATTATACCCACACTTCAAGCTGAAATGCTACTTTCCCATGAAGCCTCTTTTACTTTCCCAGCTAGGTACAATGTCTCCCTCTTCTGAACTCCCACAGTACCATGTTCCTTTCCTATAGCATTTAGCATAACCTGCCTTGTTTTCCTTACTTGTCTTAATGTCTTCCCTAGAAGACTGTAATCTCCTTGAGGTCATGGACCGTATCCTGTACAATTTAGAACTCTCCACATGGTAGACACTCAAAAAATGTTTGCTAGATGAATGAATGATGAATCCATCCTTCATGCATATTCCTGGATAATTTTTCTTAATGAATGTAACACTCCTGTGCTCAAAAATCTTCAGTGGCCCTCTATTGCCATTAAAGTTCAAACTCTGTTGTCTGGCATTCAAGGCCCTCCACAATCTGGCTCCCTCCTATATTTCCTGGCTTAACACTAATCACTTCATGTTCCAGCCAGGGTGATCTACTCTCTGCCTTTTTCCCAACTATGCCTTGTCCTGTCCCAGAATACGTCCCATGCGTTCCCACCTCATATTGCTGCCTATGCTTTACATCTTCCTTCCCCTTCTCTTAAATTTCTACCTGTCCTTTAAATGCCTTTCCTTAAGGGAGCTTTCCTCGACACTCTCTCCACCCCATCTATACTCTCTCTACCCCATCTACACTCTACTGACTTTGGTAGCTTTCCTTCTTAGATGTTATATAACCCTTTGCCTTGGACCTCTCATTATAGCATTGTAACATTGTGTATTACAGTTATTTTGTGAGTCATGTCTGATCTTCTTTCTCTTGATCATACGTTCGTTAAAGGAAGAGATCTTATCCTAAGTTTGTATTTCCCCAGCACCTTGGAGAACAGGTGCTTAATAAATGTTTATCAAATGAATGATTGACTGAACACAACTTACTTTTTCTCTGAGACAACGTGAAACGGAAAATCAGACCAATTAGTAGCGAGATGACGACCATCAGGCCCAAAATCCACCCTAAGGAGACAAGAAACCCTTCATAAATTCATGAAAGGACAACTCTTCCCCCATATATAAGACGAACATTATCTTTTTCCAGTTGGGCAGACCCAGAGCTAGAGGGATATTGAGAGTTGTCTGACCACATCCCAGCCTTCCAGCCACTGTCAGGGAGAGTGGGGCAGTGTCCTTGGCCTTCGTGCCAGAAATGTTTGGGTGGTGATGAATGGGGCAAATTCCCATCACCACCCTTTGCCCCAGTCCCAAAAGGAGGCTCTGCAAAGCTAGTCCCTCAATGCAATTCTATGTGCATTCTGGTCTCTCTGACACCAATTTCTTCCAGCCAAAAACCAAATCAGATTGTGTTGACTTCAAGCCTAGTTAGTTTCCCAGGTTTCTGTGAGATCAAAGCAAGGACTGATCAGAGAATACACTCACATCAAAGAAAGGCCTGAGAGAAGAATACACCCATATAAGCATTTGGGGGTGGAGGATGGTGAGATTTAGTCTGCAGGGATAGAAAGCAGACCTGTGATGTTACTAGTATAGGAACTCCTTTCACTAGTACAGATTGGTACTTTCTCTGCAACTTAGAACCTTAGAGAGTTGTTTGGGGGCCCTGAGAGATAGTTGACTTCTTCAGGGTCACACAGTCAATATATGTCTGAGGCAGGATGAAGTCTTCCTGCCTTCCAAGGCCAACTTTCTATCCACTGTACCTAACGTGCGCTCTCTCTCTCTCTTTCTCTCCCCCCCACATATACATATATACACACATGCACACATACATATGTATACACATATACATGAATAAATGTTTATCAAATGAATGAATGATTGAATGAAATTTAGTTTTTCTCTGAAACATGAATGCATACACATATTATATGATAAAATTTATGTCTATATCATATATACACATATAAATGTATAATAAATATAAGACACTATACATACACATGTGTACATATGTATAGTATACTATATGTGTATATACACATATCATATAATACATGCACACACATAACGTGTTACATATGTGTACATATATTTTATGTGTACCATAAGAGGCCCTGTACAAGCAAATGTATACATACACACATATATGTGCGTATGCACATATATGCATATGACACTGTAGTATATTTACTCATACGTGTTGTGTATGTGTATATATGTACATAAATGTCTACGTATACTACTGAGGCAGACTGTTTTTATATATACAGTATACATATATACATGTGTATACCTGTATACACGTACACAAATGTATACTTATAAGTATACACACAAATATATATTTAGGTATATTCTGTGTGTATATATGTATGTGTGCATATATGTATGTATACATATATATGGGTGTATGTCTACACACACTTATGCTTTTCCCTGGCCATCCTTCATTTCTGGAACTCTCTCCCTCTTCACCTCTGCCTCCCAGCTTCCCTGGCTTCCATTAACACTCAGCTCAGATCTCATGTTCTAGACAAGGCCTTCACCAATCCCCTTCCCCTCACTGGCCCAACCCCCACTGCAGGGCCTTGCCCCGACGTTTGTACCATTTCTATCGTGCACGTACAATTTTTTCACCTTTTGTCTCCCCTCACTAGAGTGGAAGCTCCATGAGGGCAGGGACCATGTTTTCGCTTTTCTTTGTATCTCTGGCCCCTAGCATAGAGTTAAGTTCTTAAGAAAGCTCGTTGCCTGATTGGCTGACTGTTGCTTTCCCCCTCAGACTACAAACTCTTGTTTTTGTCTTTTTCTTTTGCATCTTACATGGAGCCTTGTGTGGGGGTCATTTAATAATGCCTTTTGATTGATTTAAAAAAGGACAAGGGCACACACTTTTACAAATCCGCAGGTGGGTTTGGAAAGGGATACAAATAAATACACCCTCATTGCTATTATTTTGCTTTTTTTTTTGAGGGCAATTGGGGTTAAGTGACTTGCCCAGAGTCACACAGCTAGTGAGTGTTACATGTCTGAGACTAGATTTGAACTCACATCCTCCTGACTCCAGGGTCAGTGCTCTATCCACTGTACCACCTGGCTGCCCTGTCTTTTTTTTTTTTTATCAGAGGCAAATCATCCTAAATTTAAGGCTTTGTTTGGAGATTTGCATCATCCATCCATCCATCCATCAGCAGGTATTTATTAAGCACTAACTATGTACCAGTGCCCTGTGTTAAACACTGGGGGTACAAAGACAAAAGCAATAGTTTCTACCTTCAGGAAGCTTACATTCTATTGAGGGGAAACAACACAAACCCAGATAAATAAACATGAAACATATAAAAAGTAATCAGTCAACAAACATTTATTAAGCACCTACTATATGCCAGGTACTGTTCTAGGCACTGGAGATACAAAAATGAAAATTAAATAGTCCCTGTCTTCAAGGAGCTTACAGTCTATTGGAGGAAACAACACATAAACGCACAGATAGAGACACAGTAAATGCAAGATAATTGGTAAAGGGGAGGTACCAGTGGAGGGGAAATCAAGAATGGCTTCTTGTAGGAGGTGACCTTTGAGATGAGCTTTAAAGGAAGATAGAGATTTTAAGACTCCATATTTTACTTATTTGTGCATTTGTATATTTATTGACTAGATTCATACCTCTGTTAGACTTCGAGAACCAGTGATTTTGTTGGGCAGCCTCGTGGAGGGGCAGGAGGGAGGATAAGCCTCTCTGAGCTTAGTCTGAGTGGTTCTCAGACAACATAGCCTCCTGTGTGGGAAGGCTTTCCAGTCTGGCAGGCTCTGCTAGAGTTTATATTCTAATCGGATAGCTTTATGAGACTGTAAGGTCTCTATAGGCAGGGCCCTTATTCATCCTTTGCAGCACCTAGCAATGGTCCTTGAACACAGTAGGTTATGGGTCATGTTTGCTCATCGGAATGAATATATACTTACAAATGAGCTATTCCATCAGAGGCTGGGGTGAATACCAGAAACAGTGCCCTGGGCAAGCAGCACCATGCATGTCATCATTTGCAGGGTGGGAGCACAGTGGGATGGCCAAAGAACTCACTCCAGCCTGCTGTCTGGAGGTTTCTATTTTAACTGATTTTAATTATTTTAGCTAATTTCAACTAATTATTTTCACTAACTATAGGCTTAACTTTGCTGTTTTTATGATGTTGAAAGAGTCAGGATGGATGTAGGCACCCTCTAAGTTTGATGGCTTAGAGCATCAATTACTGTTCTGACCTCCATAAACACACACCTACACACATGTACAGGCAAAGACTGGCCGTGTTCTTCTTCTCTCAGATATGGTTATTGGCACCTCTGATTGAAAACTAGCAAGGAGGAAAAGGAAAGCAGAGAGGAAGCCCAACCCATTTTGTTTCCCATTCCTGGCTGCCCCGGGGTTTACACACACAATCCTAAGATGCCATGGTGCATCCGTTGGTAGAACTTATTCCGATCACTTACCAAGTGGAAGAATAGGGCCACTGGAAAAGACCTGACGGATAGTGGGCTGTGGCTGGGGTTGGGGAGAGGTGCCCAGAGTGACACTTGGCTGAGAGGTCCACATTATATCTTTGGGATTCATGAACCCAGGCTGACGCTTGGAGAGAGGGGGACCCGCCTTTGGAGGAGCAGAGACCATGTCATTACAGATAGCATCTGAGGTTGCATTACCAGGAACAGCCACAGAGTGACACCTGTAAGAGAAGGAGGCTTGGGTTCATGTGAGAGCAAAGATGAGCTGACCTTGGAATGAAGGAGTCCTCCCCTTGGCTGGGAATGTCCTTAAGATCCCAGGGCACTGGGGAGAGGCTCTGGAGACAATTGGCCCCCAGTAAAACTATGAGAGCAAAACTTTTCCATTCCTCCTTCAATTCCACTTCCCTATCCCACTCCCAAATTTCCTGGTGTCTCTCCCTATGATGTATGGCCAAACCTGAATTTCCACTTTATCCATGCATCCCTCCATCCCCACCCATCAAAACTGCTGTGTCCTGTGTCCTGGTCCTTCAAGATCCTGCTCACTAGTAAGGTCAATCTGACAAATCCATGATAAGAGATTAATGATACCCCATTTTTAATAAGGGTCCTCAAAGTCTTGACCCAAAGGAGTTAGTGGTGGGAATACCAGAGGCTAGTGGCAGAGACTTAGGGGGTTGGAAGACTCTTCAATGTCTAGTTTATGACTGGCCAGGAGACCAAGGAGACTCTAGTTGAGACCTTTTATCACCCCTAGCCTGGACTAGTATAATGGCCATTAAATTAACTGGTTCCCCACATCAAGTCTCTCCCCTCTTTGATCCTGCCCAAGCCATAGTCCTAAAACACAGGGCTGACCTTGTCACTCTCCTGCTCAAGAAACTCCTAGGGCTCCCTATTAACAATTGAATCAAATACAAACTCCTTTGTTTGGCTTTTAGGATGTCTCCTAGGCTCCAGCCTAAGTCATCTTCACCCTATTCCTTACCCATGACATTCCACCTTCCATTTCTGCGATATGCCTGGAAGGGACTCCCTTCTTATTTTTACCTCCCAGCCCTCATTTCTTTCAAAATTCAGGTCAAGTGTCACCTTCTAAATGAGGCCTTTCTTGATCCTTATAGCTACTAGAGCCTTTCTACACCCACCCACCCCAAAATGACCTTGTATATACAGAATGTCCCAAAACTCTTAGTGCAATTTTAAGCTATGATTATTAGCAATAATAATAATCATAGCTAACATTTATGTAGTGCTTACTATGTGCCAGAGCTGTATTTAATATAAATGCCTCAAGAACAAGGTCTAATTTTCAATAGGTACTTAATAACTGCCTATTGATTGATTCTGCCACTTAATACCTTTATATGACATGGGCAAGTCATTTTTTTTTTGTCTCTGAGCCTCATACTCTTTATCTGTAAAATAGGGATTATAACAATCAATAATATTAATAATCATATAATTATATTTCATTATATTATATAACTATATAATGTTATATCATATGATTATATCATAATATAAGCTATTTTATCATATAATTATATATTATATAATATTCTAATGTGATATTATGTTATACTATACTATATAATTATACAATACCATGATATTATAATCCTACAATATTATAATATAGTATAATTATTATCATCATTACATTAATAATTAATAGCTTGAGCCCTCTACCTCCAAAGACAGTTATAAGGAAAGGGCTTAGTGAATCCCCACCGTATGAGTATCAACTCACTTCCCAATCTCACGAATTTATTTCATATTGTGCATATATATCTGTGAACACAGTCTATCCTCCAGGTAGAATGTAAATTCTCTGAAGCCAGGGACAGTCTATCTTCCCCATTTGCATCCCCAGCACCTAACACAGTTTGGGGCATGTAGGAAGAGCTTAATTAATGCCTACCGATTGACTGACAGACACTAAAGTGCTATATGAATGTCAGTCATTATCACAGAAGTTAGAGGCAGGAGATCTGTGTTCAAATTCTGGCTCTAACACTGGGATCATGGGCCAGATACTTCATCTTCGTAGACTTTTGTTCACTCATCTATACAACAGGGACAACATTGTGCACCTCACACAGTTTTTGGGAGAAAAACACTTAGTTATTTTTTGTGGCTTTGTACACATAGCAGATTGAGCACTGGCCTTGGAATCAGGAAATCCCAAGTTCAAATCTCACCTCAGAAACTTGTTAGCTGGGTGCCCCTGGGAAAATTACTTACCTTCCTCAATTTCCTTTTTCTCATCTGCAAAATGAGGATAATAATATACCTCCTTCACAGGGTTATTGTGAAGGTGAAATGAGAATATTTGTAAAGTGTTTTGCAAACCTTGAAATATATTACAAGGTATCATTATTACTAATATTATTGTGTCTGCTGAATTGAATTTATAAAACCTCAAAAGTACTACATAATGACAGTTACCATTATACTTAGCCTACCCCTGCTCCATGGCTCTGGTCACTCCTATGTTCCTTCCCTCCCCTCAAGGTAAGGACTAACCTGGCAGAAACCTCAGAGGATTTAGACTTGGAAGGGATCCAAGAGCCCCTAATTTTATATCTCATTTTACAGTTGAAGAAACTGAGGCCCAGAGGGTATCTGAATTCAAGTCTTCTGCCCCCATTTCCAGTGTTCTTTCAACTATGTTGTACTCACTGCCTTGTACTTCCTGGCACCTGGCACTTCTTGTACTGACCTCTGGGAAAATGCCACTCAGCAGAAAACTTCATCCCAGCCCACCAGACCCACAGGAACCAGTTACTCACACTCGGTGGGGCTTGCAAGTGTCTGTAGATGACACAATGTCTGAAAAGGTCCCTGGGGCACAGGCAGAACACTCCACATTTGAATTCAAGTTTCCTGTAAGCCAGGGGAAAAAATCCAGAGAATTTCAGTGATTTTCAATCATTGGGTCTAGATATCAAACTGTGTCTCTCTCCAGATCACCAGCCCCAAGGAAGGATTGTGAGACAAGAGCCCCAGGGACAGAGTGGGGCATAAGGAGCCTCCCAATGGCACATAGAGGGAATTGAGAAAAGTCAGCCCAGAAGGTGCCTACGTATGAATTAGTAAGTGTTGGTACCTGGCTCCACACTTGTATCTATATGGGCACAGGGCACAGGGAGGCAGAGAAAATCAGAGCTGGGAGGGGCCTTAGAGCACCTTAGAGCTGGGAGAACCCTTAGAACATAGGATGCCAGAGCTGGGAGGGCCCTTAGAACACAGAATGCCAGAGCTGGGAGGGTCCTTAGAATATGAAATGTCAGAGCTGGGAGGGCCCCTAGAATACAGAATGTCAGAACTAGAAGGAATGTCACAGAATGTCAGAGCTTCTAACCCTCTCTGGTGTCTGAAGGATCAAGCCTGTTCCCTCCTCCACAACCACCTTCCAGCCTCTGCCTCTCTTAGGTGATCAAAACTCCATCCCCTGCCTCCACTTCTAAACGCCTGGGAGTCAGACTCAGGCCCTAAGAAAGCCAAGGTGATTTGGTCATCAGAGGCCATTTACTTTGGGTATAGTGATCTCTCCTTTTGCTGAATCATCCCTGAATACCTTTAGAATGGGTACTATAAGGCAAGGGTAAAAAAGTCAAGGATGTATTTGCTTTGCATTCATGTTGTTGTTCAGTTGTTTTAGTCACGTCCAACTCTTGGTGACCCCATTTGGGGTTTTCTTGGCAAAGATACTGGAGGGGTTTGCCATTTCCTTCTCCAGCTCATTTTACAGATGAGGAAACTGAGGCAAACAGGGTGAAGTGACTTGCCCAAGGTCACACAGCTAGTGAGTGTCTGAGGCCAGATTTGAACTCACAAAGATGAATCTTCCTGACTGGTACTCTATCCACTGTGCTAGTAGCTGGCCCTGTTCATTTTGTACTGACTCATTATACTTCTCAGTACCTTGGTGTGAGACTCCAGTCCTGGGAGTTCAGAGTGGAAGCTTCTTGAGGGCAAGGACTGCTTCCTTTTATATTTCGTATTCTCGGTAATTAGCACAGTACCATGTTTATACATAGTAGGTACTTAATAAATAGATGAATGGATGAGTGAATGAGTGATATGAGGTGCAGGAATGAATGAGCGGGAAAAGATGTCCAATGATTTATTGAAAACAGCACCATATTTAGGGAAGGTCAGATGGAAGGAAGGGAGAAAGAGAGGGACAGAGGAAGGAAGGAGAGAGGGAGGAAGAGAAGGAGGAAGAGAGGAAAGAAGAAATGAAGGCAGGAAGGCAAGAAGGAAGGAAGGAAGGAAGGAAGGAAGGAAGGAAGGAAGGAAGGAAGGAAGGAAGGAAGGAAGGAAGGAAGGAAGGAAGGAAAGAAGGAAAGAAGGAAGGAAGGAAGGAAGGAAGGAAGGAAGGAAGGAAGGTGTGAGAGACAGCTCCAGGCCTGGCGCTCTATCCGCTACATTAGAAGATGGAATGATAATCCTAGACCTCATCTTGACTACTTGCGTCACCTTGGGCAGGTCACTTACCTTCTCTGGGCCTCAGTTTCCTTCTGTATACGATGTAGGGGTTGGCCTAATGGTCTCTAGGGTCCTGCCAATGGGATTCACACTCTACCCTCCCCCATGTGAACCCTGGGCTGTAACATGGAGGGAAGTTCCTGAGCCCCAGCTCTCCATCCCTCCTACCTGGCTTAGACACTCCAAAGCCCTGGAGACACTTTGTAAACTTGAAGCACCGCAGGCAGCTGCCCTGACTCCTTGTTATGCAGAAGAATCCAGGCTTGCAGGCACAGATTCGGTTTTCCCGTCTAGTGCAATTCTGAATCTCCACCAAATCTAGTGTTGAAAGCAGAGAAAAGGGATGGCCTCCAGCCTGGAGGATGTGGTTTTCCCTGTCATCATCCCTTAGTCCAACTCCAGCCAGCCCCAGGCCTCTTGCTTGTTTGTAAAGTCAGCCGTGGGTCACTTGTAGAGATATGAGGAGGACGGGAAAAAGGGGCAAATTCTCAAGTGCTCCAGAAGAAGCTGTTTACCTAAAGGCAGAGCAGAGGATGCTTCGGGAGGAGCGCAGCAAGCTTTTCAATAGACCGAGAGCCAACTGCAGGGGAGGGGCGCTGGGGAACGGTCCAGGGCCTGCCGTGCCTTACCTGGATTACAGCGGCTGCGACAGCTGTGACATTCCTCCACCCAGTTCCAAACCTCAGTATGTGTGTCCCGGTCACAGTCGGTGCAGACAGTGTTTGAGTCCCTAGTACAAGAGTGCAGCACCCGTTGTCCTGGGGAGAGAGCAGCCGGTGCATTGTGCGTTGAAAACACAGTTCAAAATTTTAAAGAACAAAAACCATGGCCAAAACATCTCAGCTTGGCCATCAATATGTCCTGTCATATCTGTAGAGCAGCGGTAAAGAGTCCTGGGTTCGAGTCCCAATTTGCTGTGTGGCCTTAAGCAATTTCTCTAACCTCTTCTGTTCTCAGTTTACTCTAACGGAAAATGGGGATGCTGATGCCTTATTTAGGGCAGCTACTTTGGTGGTGCAGTGGATAGGGCACTGAGCTCTATCAGGAAGACCTGAGTTCAAATGTGACCTCAACTAGCTGTGTGACCCTGGGCAGGTCACTTAACTAACTGGCTTGCCTTAGTTTTCTCGTCTATAAAATGGGCTGGAGAAGGAATTGATAAACCATCAATTGATAAACCATTCCAGTATATTTGCCAAGAAAACTCCAAATGGGATCACGAAGAATGGTCTCAACAATAAAATTGTAAGTGGGAGCCGTTGAATTCTATGCCCCTGATTCAGTGCGAGGTGGCTGTCTGCTGACCAGATTCCAAAGTCAGAGAGGGGCCAGTTTTGGAGATAAGAACTGAAGGTGATAGCTATTCTGAGAGATGCTCTTCAGACCTGATTTAGGGCCAATTTTCAGCCTTGACTTCTAAAAAGTGGAATTAGGAAGTGACAACAAGGAATGGGAAAGGGGAAGTTTCAGTCTTTCTGAATCCTAGACCTCAGTCATCACCGAGCCTCCATTTTCTCAGCCATAAAGTAGGACTCAATTCAATTCAACCTTTTGAAAAGATTTTCCTTCCTGACTTCTCCCTCTTGGAATCCCTGATTCCCTTCAAGGTTCAACTCCAATGCTATCTCTTTCTTTTTTTTGGGGGGGGGAAGGAGAATGGGAGGCAATGGGGTTAAGTGACTTGCCCAGGGTCCCACATTAGTAAGTGTAAAGTGTCTGAGGCTGAATTTGAACTCAGGTCCTCCTGACTCCAGAGCATGTGCTCTATCCACTGCACTACTTGGCTGCCCCTCCAATGCTACCTCGACAGAAGGCTTGATCCCCTCCCTCCACTGCTAGCATTTCTCCACCCCTATCCCCCCACCGTTACTTTGCACTGACTCGGTATAGAACATCTATTTACTTATCTGTGTACGTGTTATTTTCCTCCCCCCACAGCAGAGGACAGTCCAGCATCTCCAATCTAGTCTCCCCAGGATCTAGCCCAGTACTTGCCACATAGTAGGCTCTTAATAAATGCTTGTTGGATTGAATTGAACATTAATTATAGAAACAAAACATCCCCACTGCTGGATTTAGCCAGCGGCTTTGTCATTCATTTGAAAATTGATGTGGTATAGTGAAATGGAGGTGTCGAAATACATGACCTTTAAAGGTCCTTCAAGCTGTAAATCTAAGATCTTAAGATACCATGTTGTCTATACAGAGACATCCTTCCTCCCCTAGTCAGAGAGAGTCTAGCCATGGAGAGGGTCGTGGCCAGGGAGAGAGGTTTCCAGGCCTCTGAGGGCTCTCCGCCTGCTAGGGACGGCTGGAGGCAGGAGAGGAATCCTGGCCAAAGATGGGTGGGCCTTCATTAAGAAATCCCTTGACTGTCTTGTTCTTCTTCTGTTCACAGGTCTCTTCCACCCTTTCTAACAGCTCAGTCTTGGCCTTTGCAACTGAGGGTGTGGCAAGGTGCATGTGTGAAAACTGGGGTGGTGACTTTAGGCTGTGGGTGACCAAAGTGTGGTGACTTTAGGGTGTGTCTCAGAGCAAGCGATTGACTTTAGGTGAGTGGGTTGACTTTAGAATAAGAGTGAGGGTGAGAGTTTGGGTTAAGTGTGAGGATGGTGACTTTAGGGTATGAGTGAGGTGACTTCATAATGATTGTAAGGGCAAGGGCGGTCACTTTAGGGTGTGAGTAACTTGAGGGTCTTGATTTTAGAGTGTGAGTGAGCTGACTTTAGGATAAAAGAGAGGTGAATGGATCACTAGGGAAGTGAAGTGAATGGGTGACTGTTGAATGAGGTGAGGAGGTGAATATGGTGCACGAGGGAGGTGAGGTGAGTGAAGAGATGATGGCTCAGCGAATCAATGAAAGGCCTAACTCCTCACTCTACCCTTCCAAAGGGAGGAGCTGTGCTCCTTCAGTGACTGTCCTCCAGCCTGTGGACTGCTGTTGTATGCCTTCTCTTACAAAAGCCAAGACTCCAAAGCTGAGGGTAAAGGTATGAGTGGAGAGAGGGATGATGTCAGTGGCTCAGCCTTGGCCCAGTTGCGGTCTTGGAAGGTTCCTACCTCATAAGATGATAGATTTAGAGCTGGAAAAGACCTTAGAGGTCATTGAGTCCACATTTTAATGGTGAGGAAACTGAGGCACAAGGGAGCTCACATAGGCAGAAAGTAGCAGAGAGCTAGGCTTCTTACCCAGCTCCTCTGACTCTGAACTCTGACCCCTTTCCACTTCCTTTGGTAATGCTGGTTATATCAGGACCCTATACAGACCAGCATAGGGCAGCTAGATGGTGCAGTGGATAGAGCACCAGGCCTGGAGTCAGGAAGACCTGAGTTCAAATCCAGCCTCAGACACTTACTCTTATGACCCTGGGCAAGTCACTTAACCTCTGTTTGCCTCAGTTTCCTCACCCGTAAAATGAGCCAGAGGAGGAAATAGCAAACCTCTCCAGTATCCTTTGCCAAGGAAAATCCCAAATGGGGTCATGAAGATTTTTGAAATGACTGAACAAGCCAAAATGGGCCAGCACAGTAGAAAGTGGGTGGGTTGGAAATCAGGAGATTTGAGCTGGAATACCAGCTTTGCCACTTAGTGGCTGTGTGACAAATTACTTCACCTCTGAGCTTCAGTTCTGTCACCTATAAATGACTAAGCTGGATTTGATGACCTCTAAGGGCCCTTCTGGTATGTGATCCTAGAAAACGGTTAGGCCTCAATGTCCCCATCTGTAAGTGCATCTCGTACCGTCTAGGTGCAACAAGCCGGGACTTTTCCAGCTGTGTTCTGCCATAGTAACATGCCCCCTTGGAGTCAAAATTCTGGGGCTACATTCAATCGTAGCCAAATAGGCCCTTCATGGAGGCAGCCTGTGATTTGTTCTTTGAGGAAACAACCCCAGTTTGGGGGGTGGGGCAGCCAGGAAAGTGAGATCCCTCGCTTGCACGGAAGAGTGAAGTGGAAGGGTGAGGCAGTTACCTGGGGGACACTTGTCACAGCACATCTGGATCTTATCATTATAATACTCTATCTCTGTGTTCCTGCACTTGCCCTTTGGTTGTGGAATATAAGGCAGAGACACCTGAAGGAAGAGAAGAAGAAAACGTTAGCATCTGTTACACTCCGGCCAGAATCCCAGGCCTCTAAACTCCTTTTCTCTCTTTTCCCTGAGTATGGTATGGTTTGCATTGTCAAAGTGGCATAGTAGAGGCAGAGGCTGCTTCAGCCCTGCCCTTGATGTATCTTTGCTCTGTGACCTGGTCATATCCTTTGACTATTTATCGATTGGGAAATGATTTGTATTCTTATAAATTTGATTTAATTCTTTATATATTTTAGAAATGAGACCCTTATCAGAGACATTGGTTGTAAAAATTCTTTCTCAATTTTCTACTTTCCTTCTAATCTTGGTTGCCTTGGTTTTGTTTGTACAAAAACTTTTCGATTTAATGTAATCAAAATTATTCATTTTGCATTTTGTAATGTTCTCTACCTCCTGTTTGGTCATGAATTCTTCTGTTCTCCACAAATCAGGTAGGTAAAAACTATTCTTTGCTCTTCCAGTTTGCTTATAGTATCAGCCTTTATGTATAAATCATGAACCCATTTTGACTTTATTTTGGTATATGGTGTGAGATTTGGGTCTATGCCTAGTTTCTGCCATACTCTTTTCCAGTTTTCCCAGCAGTTTTTGTCAAATAGTGAGTTCTTATCTGGCTCTGTGACCTGGAACAAGCCTCTCTATTCCAGACCTGATTAAGGCTCTAAGTTGCATTTGACGCATGATAAATCTGAGGCTCAGAGAAATGGGGGGACTCAGTCAAGTAGTAATCAAGCAATCCTTCCTTCGAGGATCCAAAGCTCCTAAGAACAGAGTTGGCATTGGGACGATAGGGGGCCCCAGTAATTTTCCAAAATAGAGGGAAGGAGGAGCTTTGTCCCAACCCCGCAGGTGACTGTGTCGCAAGCAGGCCCCATTCTGGCAGAGGAAGCCAGCTTGCCAACATGAGGAAGTCATTAAGGTAAAGGAAATCAGAAAGCAGCCAGGGGTTTCTGCTGACTAATTTACACTTCTTAAGATTGCCTGGTCCAAGGGAGCTATGCAGTGACCCAAACATTCTGGAAAACTATTTGGAACCATACCTAAAAATTCATTAAACTCCACCCACCTTGGACCCAGTAACACCTTCCCCAAAGACAGCAAAGGACTCATACGTATAAAAATATTAATAGCAGCTCTTTTTGTGGTGGCAAAGAACTGGAAATTGAGGGGATGCCCATCAATTGGGGAATGGCTGAACAAGTTGTGGTGTATGATTGTAATGGAACACTATTGTGCTATAAGAAATGATGAGCAGGCAGACTTCAGAAAAACCTGGGAAGTCTCATGTGAATTGGTGCAAAGTGAAGTGAGCAGAATCAGGAGAACACTGTACACAGCAATAGCAATACTGTAATGATGATCAACTGTGAAATACTTAACTATTCTGATTAAGACAATTATCTAAATAAATTCCAAAGGACACATAATAAAAAAAAAATGCTATCTGCCTCCAAAGAGAGAACTAATGCACTCTGAGTACAAATTGAAGCATGCTTTTTTCATTTTTTGGGGGGAGGGGCTGTGTTTTCTTTTGCCACATGGCTAATATGGAAATATGCTTTGCATGATTTCATATGTATAATCAATACATTGCTTGCCTTCTCAAGGGGTGGGGGAAAGGTGGGAGGGAGAGAGAAAATTTAGAACTCAAAATTTTAAAAAATAAGTGTTAAAAAATTTTAATGCAATTATGCAACATTTAATGAAACAAAAATATATTTTAAAGAAGAAAGGAAAAGGAAAAAAAAGAAATGAAGAAAGAAAGCTGGTTTCAGAAAAATCCGGGAAGATTTGTATGAACTGATGCAGAATGAAATGAGCAGAACCAGGAGAACAATTTACATAATAAAAGCAGCATTGTAAAGACAGACATCTTTGAAAGACTTCATGTCAATGCAATGACTAGTCACACCACCAAGACCAACATCAGAGAAGTCATGATGAAGTCCATTATCCACCTCCTGATGGACAGGTGATGGACTCATGGTACAGAATGAGAAATACATTCTCGGACACGGCCAACTTATGAATTTGTTTTGCTTGACTGCATATTTGTTGCGAAGGAGTTTGTTTGTTTTTAATTTGGGGAGAAATTGAGGGGAGAAAGGAACTAGTGATAGTGATGGCAAAAAAAAGTATAGAAAAGAGGTGACTTAGCAGTAATTATCAAAACTGTCTAATACTGACTAAGAAATAGAAAGGTAAATCAATGGAATAGAGTAGACATACAATTTACAGCAGCAAATAAACACAATAACCTTACATTTGACAAGTGTAAGGACTTAAGATTTGGGGATAAGAATTCATTATCTGGTAAAAATTGTTAGGAAAACTGGAATGGAGTATGGCAGAAACTGGGCATAAACTAATATCTTATACCATTCACCAAGAGAAGGTCAAAATGGATATATAACTTAGACAAAAAGAGAGATTTTACAAGAACATTAGAAGAACACAGAATATATTACTCATCAGACTTATGGATCGATGAAAAATTTATGAATAAACAAGAGATAGAGAGCAAAATTAGGTGTAGAATGGATTGTTTTGATCATATTGAATTTTAAAGTTTTTGTACAAATATAACGGATGTAGCCAAGATCAGAAGGAAAGAAGAAAATTCGGTGAAAATTTATAGACAGTTTGTCAGATAAAGGTCTTATATCTAAAACATTTAAAGAACAAATCTATAAGAATACAAGTCATTCCCCAATTGATAAATGGTCAAAGGATATGCATATCAACAGGCAGTTTTCTGAAGAAGAAATCAAAACAACTATAGTCATATGAAAAAATGCTCTAAATCATTATTGATTAGAGAAATGCAAATTAAAACAACTTGAGATACCATTTTATACCTAGCAGATTGGCTAAAATGATAGAAGGGGAAAATGACAAATGTTGGAGGGATTAGGAAAAATCGGGACACTAATTCATTGTTGGTGGAATTGGGAACTGATCCAACCACTTTGGAGAGCAATCTAGAATTATGCTCAAAGAGTTATTAAACTACCCTTTGATCCAGCAATATCACTATTTGGTCTATTTCTGAAGACAATTAGGGAAAAAGGAAAGGAACCTATATGTTCTAAAAAAAATTATAGCAGTTCTCTTTGTGGTGACAAAAAACTTGAAATTGCAGGGATGCCCATCAATTGGGGAATGGCTGAACAAGTTGTGGTATATGAATGTGGTGGAATACTACTGTGCTGTAAGAAATGATGAGCTCGAGGATTTTAGAAAAATGTGGAAAGACTTGCATGAAATAATGAAGAGCAAAATGAGAAGAACCAAGAGAATGTTGTAGACAGTAACAGCAATATTCTTTTAAGAACAACTTTGAATGAATAAGTTATTTTGACTATTATAAATAGTCAAGTTAACTATAAAGGACATATGAAAAAAGATGATATCTGCATCCAGAGAAAGAACTGATAAATAGAACTATGTATAGAATAATTTTACAAACATATACTTATTTGTGTCTAATGATAGCCATTGGGTGGGAGAGGGAAGGAAGAAAAAAAGAAATTCACGTGATAAATTTGTTGTATATTTGAAAGGAATAGCAAGTTGTACATAGTATTTATACTATCATATTTTTATTGTACTGTTATAGAAATGCTTGCTTTATTCCATAGATTAAAAGTTAAATTAAAAACAAAAAGAAAAGAGGGTGACAAGCATTTTTTAAAAATGCACAGTAGAGAACAGAAGCAAATTCAAAGAGAGGAATAGACAAGCAGGACAGCTTTGAAACTAGCATGTTGAATTTATTATATTCTTTTTAAAAACCAAACTATACATAACAGATATGTCCAACTTTATATACAACCCTCTGTGTTCTTTTTATATGGAAATGTTCATGTTTGTTAGCCTTTATCAAGTTCGGAATAGCAAAAAATAAAAATTATTAAAATGCAAAAAAAAAAAAGATTACCTGGCTATTTAAGGACATCCTCTGAGGTCCTTGTACCACATGAATCTCGAAGAAAGAAAAACCAACAAAACCCTCTAGGCATGAGGAATACCAAGATATCAGTTTCTCACCCTAGAACACCAGGTTCCTAAAAATAATTTAAATTCCTCCAACAATAAAGCCCAGGCATTGAAGAAATACATCATCATTAGTGGTCTCTGAGGACCCAGCTCAGAACCGAGTACCCCAAAAGATGGAACCTAATACTATCAACTCCCAAATACGCAGGCCTCTGTGAAAACATAAAACAATCATTTATTAAAGGCCTATTATGTCCCAGGCACCGTGCTAAATGCTTTACAAGCATTATCTCATTTGATCCTCACGTGCTATAAGGTATACCTGGGAGGTAGGTGCCATTATTATTCCCATTTTACAGTTGAGAAAACTGAAGCAAGCAGAAGTGAAGTGACTTGCCCAAGGTCACATAGCTAGTAAGTGTCTGAGGCTGGATTTGAACTCAGGTCTTCTTGACTTTCAGGTCCAGTCATCTATCCACAGTACCAGCCAGTTACCCAATTATGCTTGGGACTCTGTGAAGACAAGAGTTGTCTCCCACATGGGAATAGAGTCTCCATAAGGAAGGGAAATGTGGCTCCCCATTAGAGTAGCAGGAACTGTCTCCCACACTTGACTGAAGGCGCCCTGGGTGTAGGAACTCTGTCCCCATAGTAGACTGGGAGCTTCCTGTGGTCAGAGATGCAGCTCTGCCAATCAGACTGGGGCTCTCTGGGTACCAGAGCTCTGCTTCTCCTTCAGACTGGGTGCTTTCTGAGACCAGGGAGAGTCTCCCCATACAGCCCTGAGAAGTTCCTGAGAACAGCAACCATCTCCCCCATCAGACAGTGGGCTCCTTGAGGACAGTGACTGGGTCTCTCCCATCCGATTTGGGGTACCTTGGGTGCAGAGACTCTGCTCCCCTAGACTGGAAGCTCCCTCAGAGCAGGAACAGTGTCTCCCCGACTGCCTTTCAACATAACTCTGCATCCCTCCCTGGGAT